AATGTTACACTATAAAGATTTCAGGAAGAGGCCTGTCTCTGTTAAGCGTCATCCCAGGGAGATCAGGGGTTGAAGCTTAATGGAGTTGCCACCTCTCACTATGACAGGTTTTGAGGAGAACTGATGATGGTGGAGTGCCATGAAAAGGAAGGTCTGGGGCCTCCCCGGTGGTGCAGTGGGTTGAGCACTGCACTGTGAAGCTGTCCACAACCTCTGCAGCGCGGGTTTGATTCCCGGCCAGCCAGGGAGATTCCCACATGGCGCGGCAGACCTCTCCTGCCTTACCCACTGCTCCCCTCAGCAGTGTCTTTGGTCAGTCTGCTGTTCTGCTCCCCACTCTGTCTCTGGTGAATTCTCTCACATTCCCACGTCTCTGACCTGTACCCCAGTTCTTGTATAAATAAATAAATCTTAAAAAAAAAAAAGAAAGAAAAGAAAAGAAACGGAAGGTCTGTTTGTCTTTGTGCTGTTTGGCCCTGTCAACTTCTGAGGCTCTTTTAGTTTTGGGAAATATGCTATTGGCCAAAGAAGACTTCAAAAGAGAAGACTTGTGCAGCCCATTTCTAGGTGGTGACTGAGAAGATGGCCACTGGGGAAAGATCTGGTGGTGGTAGATAGTGGTGGGCTTTGTGGAAATGTGCAAGGTGCTGGATACTTAGAGACCATGATGTCAGGGACCCCAGAGACATGCCACAGAAGAGGCAGGTGAGGTGGCAGGAGGCAACTAGCCAGGCTACTGCTGGTAAAACATCTTCCTGGTTGCTTAGAGAGTCTCTCTGCAAGGAGAGGGCAGAGTTCATCTGATGAGCTAGGACAGTACTTGTCAAAGCCATGAAGGTATTTGTTCAGCATCTATAATCATCATTATGGCATCAGATTGCTTCCCCTCCTTTCCTAGTTAGCATTTTTCCTCACTAGAAGTTTGTTTTACTGATAAACATTCTCTCTCTAGATGCCATTATTTGAAAATAAAGCTCTTTCTTATGCAACAAACCAGAACACAACACTGGATGAATTAAGGTAGATGGGCTGAATTCTGAAACTGTGATTCAAGAAAATTTCCTTCTCCTTATTTAATCTGAAATTCATTTTAATTAAACAGTATTGGGAAGTGAGGTGAGGGCTGCTTGGAGAAAATCATCAGAGTTAACTTGCTCTTCTTCAAAACCAACATGGAGGAATTCTTTCTCAAATGGACACTCTTTATCTCATTTTTCTTCATTTTACTATCATCTGCCTAACTTGCTTCTCTATGAAGATGTCAAAATAACCCATCAAAAAATAAAAATAAATCATATTTCACACTATTGATATCTTCTCACCACAAAAGGAAAAGACACAAAAGCATGAACCATTATATTTTCTCAGATTTAAATCCCAATCAGATTGCTCCACAGCAGACATGGATTTCAAGAACTCAGGCTTAGTCATGTGGGAGAATGCAGCCTCCCAGGCTGGGAGGTAGACCATCCCAAGATTGACAGGCTAGTTATTTCTCAAGCTAAAGGAGTGTTAGGTTATCTGAAAGGACACAGCAGGGAGCGTCAGGTGATGCTGTGTCCCGGAACCTCCCCACCAGAATATGGGCTCACCCTGAGCAACCTCACAGTTACAAAGAATTGCTGGTGGCAATGGAAAATTTTGAGGATTCTCCAAATCTAGGTCAAAGGAACTCCTCCAATTCATTTATTCATTCAACTGATGCTCGAGTGCCTGCAATATGTCAGGCGGTGTTCTAGACACTTGGGTTGTATCAGTGATCAATGACAAGAGTCTTTGACCTTGGGGACTTCTATGCTCTAAGAGAGATACACTGTTCTTGGCCATAATAAAGAAACATGATAACCATGTAAATTGTGTTTGAAATGCTATGGGAAGAGGAATAGTAGTAGAAGGTAGAAGCAATTGGGAGCTCCCAAAGGGAAGGTCCTCTTTGAGTAGGTGATGTTTGAACAAATTTGAAGGTGAAGGAGTTAGATATTATGAATCTGTGGAAAGAGTACCACTAGAGAATATCTGAGGCAAGCGCCCCAAGGTGGGAACGTGTCTGGTATGTTCCAGGAGTGCTGTGGCTCAATGAGAAAGAGTAAATGGAAGAAGAGACAAGGCCCCTTAGTTTGTCTTCTGCTCTTACTCCGCCATCAGCCGTCCTAAGGACTGGTGAATCTTATTTCATGGTGCTCTGTGGTCTTCAAAAACAATCAACTTGGAGGGCCTCCCTGGTGGTGCAAGGGGTTAAGACACAACCTGTGAAGCTATCCGCAGCTACTGCAGCATGAGTTCAATCCCCGGCCAGGGAGCCACCCACATGGCACAGCAGACCTCTCCTGTCTCGCCCGCTGCTCCCCTCCGCAGTGAATTTCAGTGGATCTGCCTGTTCTGCTCCTGACTCTGTCTCTGGTGAACCCTCTCACCCCCCCACACCTCTGGCCTGTACCCCAGTTCTTGTATGCATAAATAAATAAATCTTTAAAAAATCCGCTGGAGTAGAAGACACTAGGGAATGTTCCTTCATGTATACAAATGCTGCTTAAATTCTTGGACCTTCTTGTTTTTGAAAGTTTCCATCCTAGAGAGGTCAGATTGCCTGTAAGGGTGGTTTAAAGTCACATATAAGAGCCCTTTGAGGATAGAACATTGAATTACCAAAGAAATGGCTTTGTGCAAGCTTTTGTTTGTTATGCATGAAAAGAATATCGTTGGTTACTCTAAATTGATAAATGTGGAATTATGATTTTTGAAAAAATGTCCCTTATGAAACATAATGGTGAAGAGCTATATTAGCAAATATAATAGAGATATATAAGGTTGTGGTAAAATAAGGATACTAATACTAGTAACTGAATATTGGGGGAAATTACCCAAATATACCCTTTCTACTAACCTTAGGGCATCTGTCTTATCTTCTTGATTATACAAGTTTCAACAAAATTCCCCAGGTTTCTCACTTTTAAAACCACAGTTTGTTACAGATTGTGTATTCAAGGCATATCTGGATTAGTGACCTCAGTTTTATCTTATCTTGAGCAGAGTGAGTTCTGGTATAAAGGGTCAGGTAATTACAGAACTCAGTGTCCCTGTGTTGTTCCAGGAAGAGATCCCCATGAAAGACAAGGTCTTCAAGGCCTGCTGTCACATTAGACAGAACTAGCAGAAAGATGCCCACAGGGCCACGTTGCTGGGGACCTGCTGAAGCTGATTGCCCACCATGGCGTTCGCACTGCTCTAGGTCTCCAGGCCCTGTTCCCTATCAGTTCTGAGGCCGTTCTTGGAATGACGACTTTTTATGTCCAAAAGAATCATTTCAGCCTTGCCTTTCCTCTGCAGGCCCGGGTACACTGAGTGATGGATAAACAGGAAAATTTCTTTCTATACCTGGGGAAATTCATGCCACCATGCCCTTGGCCTCCAGAAAAAAAAAAAAAAAGAAACACCTATTGCTAATCTCCACATCCACCAACAAGCAGACCAACAAACTGGATCTGTGCTAAGGATTAGGGGCTCCAGAAAACAGGGCAGTTTCTGGTTCCAAGAGTCCCAGAACCTCTTCCTCCTCTCTTCTTTCAGCCCACACCCCCTCACCATAAACACTATACCTGGGCACCAAGGACATTCAGTGGGATAAGGCCATGTGACATCATTGTTAGACAGCCAGTGCCAAAAATATGTCAAGTGGGTGGTTTCATCACAAAAGCTGAGCCAACCGGAAAATGAGGGGAGCAGGTGATTCATGTTTGACAAACAAAGAATGAAGACACAGCGGCCCCAAAGATCCCATTTCCTTGAGACAGGCCTCCTTCACTGTATAAAAAGCCAGCTGGCTTGGGGACACCACACCAGACACGAGTGACCACACAGCCTGTTCTTCTCTGCACCGGGTGAGTCTCTCAGCTTGCGATTTTTCCGTTCACTCAAGTGATTTTGATTGGAAACTTCTTGATATTCTTGGCTTCTTTGCCCCCATTGTTGAAACTCTGTTTTAGAGTTAAAGCCTCTTGAAATATCTTTGTTTTAAGTATGTTGTTAGTTTGGATTTGGCAGAATTTAAGACCTCACCAGTTCTACTCCATCACTCTTGCTGTGTCAGCATAGGGGACTGGCATGTGCCAGGACCCACAGAGTGCAGAACAAGGACCAGAACTGAGGGCCACAGCACTTTTAGTGACATTATAGTTCTCTTTGTTCACAATTTCAATACGGAGAATTTTATTCTTTCAACAAATCATTTTGTGAGAATTTTCTTTATTTGACAACTTGGTTGCTAAGAACAATTTAGACAACAGGGAATTTGCTCCATGAAAGTACAATTTATTCAGGAGAGTAAGACATGTGCATGAAAACTAAAGTACCATGTAGAACATCATCAGTAGAAGGTGATAAGTGCTGTGGCAGTTTGGGGAGACAGGCGATTTCTGGAAGACTTGTTCTAGGAAAGCCTCCCAGAAGTGTCAGATAAGTGCTCTGTGATCCATGGTAGTTGCAGAATGCTTAAACTAGCCAGAACAAGGAAAGCACTTGAGGCAGAGGAAGGTATAAGGGAGGCCAAAGGTGGGATTGTGTGAGTTATAAAGAAGTCGGTCTCTATCTTAAAGATGATAACCTATTCTATTTATCAGAAATGTGTGGGTGGGCTGGAGTTACTGGTTTTACGACTTGGGCTTTTTAATTTTTTTCAAATAATACACATTTACCTATAGTCTTATATTGTGACCTCTCATGCTTACCAGGATCCTGTCATTGTGCTGTGTTGGGAACTGGGTTTTTAGAGATGCATCAGGAAGAAAGAGATAACTGGGGAAGGCCCTGCTTAAATGAAGCAGAACACCTGCTTTTATATTCCTCCTCTTCAAAAGCTGAGCAATTATCCAGGTGTTCTTTATGGTAGACAAGGAGAAAGAATATTTGCTTCTTAAGAGAAGCAGCATTGAATGTGTCTTCTTCCATAGTTAATCCCTGTCTAAATTACCTTTTCTGTCTGTAGGTCCAGCCTCCTCTGAAGCATGAGTTCCCAGCAGCAGAAGCAGCCCTGTACCCCACCCCCCCAAATTCAGCAGCATCAGGGGATACAGCCCTGCCAGCCTCCACCCCAGGAGCCATGTGCCCCCAAAACCAAGGAACCATGCCAGCCCAAGGAACCAGAGCCCTGCCAGCCCAAGGTTCCTGAGCCCTGCCCCTCGACCATCACTCCAGTGCCCGCTCAGCAGAAGACCAAACAGAAGTAATGTGCTCCACAGCCACGCCCTGGGGGAGCAGACCACTGGATATTGAATCACCTTTCCATTCTGCTTATGGGTCCCACTTGCAATTAGCATGCTGTCAGTCTGAGCCACAGTCCTTTCTCATTTGGCCCCTAAAAATGTGGGCTATGATTCTTTCTTTCCCAAATACTCTGGGCATCTGAGTCTCATTGTAGGTCTTAGAAGCTTAGAACCTTACTTTAAGCTGCACAGGATTCATCCAAAAAGATATTTCAGATAAAAAACAAGTGAATCAATTTTGTTCTTCCCCCATTAAATTTATTTTTTAATTCTATTCCTGACTGTGTGTTATGATCTGATTCAACTCCTTCCTTCCCCTCATGAATTAGAACCTGTATATAGACAGGTTGGTGAAGAAGGACTTCATTCACAGGCATCTGGTCTGAGTAATAGGTGGGTAGGAGGTGGGTAAGATTACTAGATGGGCAAGAGAGGGCTGCTGATGGGAGGTTATGTAATACCATCATGATACTGATGCTTTGGGCATCCAGAGGTGAGCAGGGCTTTCCTTCTCAACTCAGTGAGTCATACCAGCATCTAGTTAGTGCCTGTCCAGGCTGACTCTGATGCTCTAACTTTCATACCTGCCTCCAAATCTGGCTTCTGAATCACTGATTAATTCCACCAATTACTGATTATTTCAAGGAATACTGTTCCTACATGTGTGAATCTTCTTCTCTTTACTAATTGCATTCTGGTACCCATAACTCAGGTTCTCAAACCAAAAATGCACAACTTCTACTTTTGTTACATTCACTTAGTGTCTTACATTCACTTAGTGTCTATTTTGTGCTGGAAAGAGGTTGAGGGGGATTCATAGCGCTTACCTAGAATTTGCCAACACTAGGCCCCCCCATAAGATATGTTGAAAGAAGCTCTCCTATTTAAATCAAAGAGAAAAAATACACACACACACACACACACACACACACACATAAATGAACAAGACAATAAATAGATACAACCAGAAAATTAAAGACAAAATGACAGTAGCAAATCCTTATATTTCAGTAATCATCTTTAATGTAAATGGACCAAACTCACCAACCAAAGGCACAGTGGCTTGTTGGATCAGAAAATAAAATCCTCTGTCTTTAGGATATCTATCTGAGTTCCAAAGAAAAAACATAAGTTCAAAGTAAAAGGTTTAAAACAATAAAACAATGCTACAAGCAAATAGTGCCCTAAAAAAGGCAGAGAGCTAGGGCCTCCCCTGGTGGCGCAGTGGTTGAGCACTGGGCTGCAAACCTGCCCGCAGCATCTGCAGTGCCAGTTCAATCCCTGGCTGCCAGTGAGGGTCCCACGTGGCATGCAGACCTCTCCTGTCGTGCCCGCTGCTCCCCTCAGCAGTGTATTTTGGTCCATCTGCCTGTGCTGTTTCCTGCTCTGGCTCTGGTGAACTCTCTCACCCTCCCGCACTTCTGACTGTACCCAGTGCTTGTATAAATAAATAAATAAATCTTTTTTTTTATTATTATAGATTTTATTTTTATATTCCCCGTACAATTGTGACCCCCTTATTTTGACTCCAATCCCTCCCCTCCCCACCCCCCACCCCCCCATAGAGTGTCTCTAGTTCATAGCTGTTTGTTGATTTTGATTTTTACTTTCTTATAGTTATTCTTTTTCCTGGTCCCTTATTTAAGTTTTCTAGATTCCTGCTATGAGTGAGACCATCCGGTATTTTTCTTTTTCTTTCTGGCTTATTTCGCTGAGCATGATCCCTTCCAGCTCCATCCATGTCGCTGCAAATTGCATGTGTTTATCTTTTTTGAATGCTGAATAATATTCCATGGTGTATATGTACCACATCTTCTTGATCCAGTCATCTATTTGTGGGCATTTGGGTTGTTTCCAAAGCTTAGCTATTGTAAACAGTGCTGCTATAAACATAGGGGTGCAGGTGCTCTTTGGAATTGATGTTTCTGTGACCTTTGGGTAAATACCTAGGAGTGGAATTGCTGGATCATATGGAAGCTCTATGTTTAGTAGGTCCAGAAATCGCCACAGAGCTCTCCATAGTGGTTGGACCAGTTTGCACTCCCACCAACAGTGCAGGAGAGTTCCTTTTTCTCCACACCCTTGCCAACATTTGTTGTTGCTAGTTTTTTAATATGTGCTATTCTCACTGGTGTAAGATGGTATCTCATGGTAGTTTTGATTTGCATTTCCCTGATTGCAAGTGATGTTGAACATTTTTTCATATGCCTGTTGGCCATTTGCATTTCCTCTTCAGAGAAGTTTCTTTTTAGCTCTTCTGCCCATTTTTTGACTGGATTATTTTCTTTGTTTTTGTTGAGTCTCATCAACTCTTTGTAGATTTTTGTGATCAGTCCTTTATCATTAGTGTTGTGTGCAAAAATGTTCTCCCAGTCGGTGGGGTTTCACTTTGTTTTGGTTATTGTCTCTTTTGCTGTGCAGAAGCTCTTCAATTTGATGTAGTCCCTTCACTATCACTGCTTTGGGTGATGTGTCTGTAAAGATGTCTTTGATGTGCATATCATGTAGTGTTTCGCCTATATTTCCTTCTATGTATTTTATGGTTTCAGGTCTTATGTCTAGTTCTTTAATCCATTTGAGTTGGTTTTTGTGTATGGTGTGAGGTAGTAATCAAGCTTCATTCTTTTGCATGTAGCGAACCAGTTTTCCCAGCACCATTTATTGGACAAACTTTCTTTGCTCCAATGCATATTCTTTGCTCTTTTGTCAAAGATTAGTTGACCATAAATCTATCAGTTTATTTCTGGATTTTCTATTTGATTCCATTGGTCTGTGTGTCTGTTCTTGTTCCAATACCATGCAGTTTTGAGGATTATGGCTTTGTAGTATAGTTTGAAGTCTGGGAGTGTGATGCCACCATTCCCTTTTTTTTTTTTTTCAGGAGCGCTTTGGCTATTCGGGGTTTTTGGTGATTCCATATGAATTTCATCAATAATTGTTCTAATTCTTTGAAGAATGACATTGAAATTTTGATTGGAATAGCATTGAATCAGTATATTGCTTTTGGTAGGATGGCCATTTTAATAATGTTGATTCTTCCAATCCATGAGCAGGGGATGTCTTTCCATTTCTTTGTGTCTTCTTCTATTTCTTTTAACAGTGTTTTATAGTTTTCTTTGTATAGGTCCTTTACCTCTTTTGTTAGATGTATTCCCAAGTATTTGATTTTTTTGGTTTCGATAATAAAAGGGATGGTGTTATTGATTTCTTCTTCTTCAGATTTATTGTTTGTGTATAGGAAGGCTACTGACTTTTGCGTGTTGATTTTGTATCCTGCCACTTTACTGAACTGATTGATGAGTTGAATTAGTTTTTCTGTGGAGTTTTTGGGGTTCTCTATGTATATTATCATATCATCTGCAAATAGTGATAGTTTGACTTTTTTCCTATTTGGATTCCTTGTATGTCTTTCTCTTGTCTTATTGCTCTGGCTAGGACTTCCAGTATTATATTGAAAAGCAGTGATGAGAGTGGACATCCTTGTATTGTTCCAGATCTTAATGGAAATGTTTTCAGCTTTTCACCATTGACAATGATACTGGCTGTTGGCTTGTCATATATGGCCTTTATGATGTTGAGGTATGTTCCTTGTATCCCAAGAATTTCAAGGGCTTTTATCATGAGTGGGTGTTGCACTTTGTCGAAAGCTTTCTCGGCATCTATTGATATTATCATATGGTTTTTATATTTCTTTTTGTTGATATGTTGGATAACGTTGATTGATTTTTGGATGTTGAACCATCCTTGTGTCCCTAGAATGAATCCTACTTGGTCGTGGTGAATTATCTTATGGATACATTGTTGGATTCTGATAGCTAAAATTTTATTGAGGATTTTTGCATCAGTGTTCATTAGGGAGATTGGCCTGTAGTTTTCTTTTTTGTGTGTTGTCCTTGTTCGGTTTTGGTATTAGTGTAAAGTTGGCTTCATAGAACGTGTTTGGTATAATCCCTTCCTTCTCAACTTTTTGGAAGAGTTTGTGAAGGATAGGCACTAATTCATCTCTGAATGTTTGGTAGAATTCATTTATAAATCCATCAGGTCCTGGGCTTTTTTTGGGGGGGAGGTTTTTGATTACCATTTCAATTTCGCTGCTTGTAATTGGTCTGTTTAGGTGTTCTATTTCTTCTTTATCTAGCTTTGGGTGATTGTAGAGTTGTAGGAATTTGTCCATCTACTCTAGATTGTTGAACTTGTTTCCATATAACTGTTTATCGTAGTTACTGATTATTCTTTTGATTTCTGCTGTGTCCGTTGTGATTTCTCCTCTTTCATTTATGATCCTGTTTATTTGTGCTTTCTCCCTTTTTTCCTTTGTGAGCCTGGCCACAGGTTTGTCTATTTTATTTATTTTTTTGAAGAACCAGCTCTTGGTTTCATTGATCTTTTGGATTGTTTTTTTAGTTTCGATTTCATTTATTTCTGCTTTGGTTTTTATTATTTCTTTTCTTCTACTGGTTTTGGGGCTTTTTTTGTTGTTCTTTTTCTAGATCTTTGAGCTTCGAGATTAGGTTGTTTCTTTGAGTTCTTTCTTGTTTCTTGATGTGAGCCTCTTTTGCTATATATTTTCCTCTTATTATTGCTTTTGCTGCATCCCATACATTCAGGAAATTGGTGTCCTCCTTGTCATTCAATTCAAAGAATTTTTTAATTTCTTCTTTGATCTCCTCGTTAGTCCAGTGGTCTTCCAGAAGTGTGGTTTTCAATATCCATGAGGTAGGAGAGTTCCTTGCCTTCTTTTTATGGTTTATTTCTAGTTTGATGCCTTCATGTTCAGAAAAGATGGTTGGTATGATTCAATCTTGGTGTATCTGTTGATGTTTGTCTTTTGTCCCAGTATGTGATTGATCCTGGAGAATGATCCATGTGCGCTTGAAAAATGTGTACTCAGATTTTTTTTTGGGTTTAGTGTTCTATAGATGTCTGTTAAGCCTAAGCACTCTAGATCCTTATTTAGAGCTTTA